GGATGTTCCATTCATCAGCCAACTCAAAGCCCAGCTGTTTTCCAATAACCTGATTATCAGTCGAACTACTTTTTGGATCCCTGCCGGTTTCAAAGCAAACCTGTTAAAGGCACTTTCAAGGCTGGTTGGAAGAGATCAAGTGAATGAAAAAGGCTATAGGAGAAAACCCTAGAACCGGGGTTTGCTTATTCATCTTTTAGATGCATGAGTTTGATCCAAGACGGCAGAAAATCACAATGACAACCCATAGAGAAACAAATATTCTCACAAAAGGTGGAAATAGAACACCGCCATCAGTCTTTTGTGACATCTTTGTGGAGAAAATTTAATTAAGAAAAAAATGACCTGATTAAGAAATTTAAATGGCCATGACTCCTTCATTAAGGGACAAAGGCAGGTAGATGGTATGGTCTTCATGTTATTATATCATAGATATATTTGCTAATATTGCCTACTCAAACTAAAAAATAAATGCTTGGTTTGTTTAGAAAATCAATTAAAAACAGGAACTTAAAACTTCTATTGAATCAAATAACCACAAATGAGATAAACCACCAACAAAGGTACCTCTGGTGTCCAGCTATTCCATAATGCAAAGGGAAGACTTCAGGGAATCGTGATCTGATCAATCAGATTTAATGAACAATCTGCATTGATTCTTCCTGCCATCTCCTCTCCCTGATTAGTCTGTCCAGAAATATTTTTTTAGGAAAATACTAGGTAATATTGCAGAACTGCGAAAGAAACACAAGGAGCCAGAGCACATTGCAGAGAATATAGCCTAATGAAACCAATTCATTCCAGGGCACATACAATAATATTATCATTTAAACGAAATTGTAAAGTACTGAAAACTGTGTTCCAAACAAAAAACTATTAGAAAGAGACAGATCTTCAGCAGCTTCATGCATACTTATATATCCAATGATCGACAAAGTTATTGGTGATCTGAAGTTACTTTAAGATGACACTACTGTTCTATCTAGACTATTCTCAACTTCTTGTTATCCTAAATCGTATTTTTTATGTAATACTGAATATCCTTTATACTAATTACATATTAAAATGCTTTAAACATGTCCTGATTTTCATTATTTAATTTACTACTCTATTTACAAAATAATAATGATACAAAAGAGTAGTGCAAACAGAGCACACTCACATCCAGTTCAGTACTTCTAACAGCCAGCTACTATATCAAGGCCTCTGGCAGTGAGATTATGATCTGCCCTGGATCGTATACACCTTAACTCAGCAGAAGTTTTCTCTCCAAGAGGGTAAAAAGTTCACCCTCAGCAGATGGCAGCGATCGAAGGCAGTCGAGTTTGTATTGAGAATTGTGAATTCGGTTGACATCAGATAATGCTGCCAGGCAGCCTATAGCTATATGGCATTGCTTAGTTGTTACAGCATTATGGGAGTCTGCTGAAAGAGATAAAGGAAAGAAAGCACAACACATCAGAAGCATATGAAATGTAACAAGGTCTTTCTAAATTACCAAGTCACCAGGTTTACAGGGTGGCAAAAGACTTGTGGAGATTTCAGCAGCGTTAAATTTCCTAACTTGCACTAATAGCAACTAGGATATACTGTAGCTTTTCAGTATGGAGGATATTCTGGAAAGGAGAAATTACATTTTTCCCTGAAGTTTTTCTTTTTTCCTTCTCTGAAGTGAAAAATTGCACATGCAATATGCTTTGAGAATGTCCACCTCTCATTTAAAACTAATCCACTGTTGTCACAAAGGGGATCATCCAATTAACCACAAGACTGTAAAAAAAACTGTTGTATAAATTTCCATACAATATTCTAAGCAAACACCCATAGCTAACAGACAAAGACAGATAAGTCACATAGTTTCCCTGCATCATTAACAAATAATCAATTTATACATAATAATTGCATAAATAAAATCTATAAACAGCTTGGTTCAGGCTGAATAGTTTGCCTCTGTAAGATAGTCTGCTTCAGCAGAATTTGAAGATTTATCTTTTGTTTTGAATAAAATATATACAGTATATATTACTGCTAAACCTTCAGTCATCATGGCTGAAAAAAAAAAAAACTTTTTATTTTACAGAGCAATTGAGTTACTCTATCTGCTGAAAACAACCCTTCCCACACAAATATACACTCACAAAAAAGCACATAAAAATACACAGGAAACTTTGTAAGCAAAAAAAAAAATTAAAACAGATCCCAGATAGTAAATTAATGGAAACATGAATTCAGCCCCATTTAAAAAAAACAAAATGCCTGAAAAATATGGGTCACATTGATGTTCAGAAGAATATGCTCTGATTTACAGTCCATGTAGAGTCACAATTTTTAAGGTAAGCTGTCAGTCTCCTGCTGCTAAGCAGAAGCACTATGCCTTTTCCACATCAAGCTATTCAATTTTTCTGCAGAGGCTGAGGATGACACATTTCTCCAGCAGCATTTTGTGTGTGCACTACTGTACAGCATCCTGTACTACAGCTCTCCAAAGCATAATGTGCAGAATAATCCACACTGGTTTCATTTTTTTTGTTCCAATAATACAGTAAGTGGCAACTACTGTAATTCTCATTTCTTTCCTATAAATCATATCATCTGGTCGGTTTTATTAGAAACAGCAATGATCGCTTATTTGAAAAGAAAGAAACAAATGGAGATTGGCCTAAAGGGAAGACAAAGGCATCTGTTCAATAAATGGTAGGAACAAACAGACAAGCTAAGTTCCGAAAGGATCTGCAACACTGAGTTGCAACACGTGCCAAAAAGCACAACATTTTAAATGGCAGATACAGTGAGACATTTCTTGACTGGAACTCTTGAAAATTAATGATCACACTGAATTAAAGAATTAATCCCTTACTGTCCCATACTGTATATTTGAAAGTGTGTTTTCATGATTGTGCATACATTGAAAGAGTATGTACAGAATAGTAAATAATCTGAAAAAGTATGAACCCCTAACAGGTGCATTTTTGCTCCACTGGATAAAGTGAAATGTAAAATAAATTTGGAAAAGGGCTAGTGGCTAATCAGCTCAGAGCCCATCCTGGTCTCTGTAGTTTCGAGCACACTGAAAGCGTGTGACTATCCCAGATAGTTCACTATTGCTGCTTCACTTACAAAAGCAAAAAAATGAAGAAGGTCAACCAAGCTTCAATTAGAAAAAAATTAGAAGCATTCACAACTGTGAGCATTAATGTTTTCAAAGAGAATTTGAAAGGACCCATAATGATAGAGATGAAGATGGTAAACAATTGTGGAAACTTGGATGTGTCATCAATGGTACATTTCCCTTTTTGATCGTGTGCCCTTGAGCAGTGTAGGTTGCTTTTGATGAGGACAAGGAAGCAATACAGAAAGGTAGAAAAGGATTTCAGGAATGAAGCTGTTTTTAAGTGAAACAGGAGTAATATAATAGGGATCCATTCTAGACACACAGCCATGACCTATGTGTCTAGAATGGCAAGCTTATAAAAAAATGTATATTTTAAAGAAAAGAAGCAGTGCTTGAGTTACAGTATGCCATGTACTGTAATATAATGACACACAAAAAAATGAACCTGCATGAGTCTTCACTGCTTTTCAAATAATGTTGAATTATTTGCTCCTAGAGTTCCTTTATTCTGATTAACAAACCTAAGCTTGGTGGTTAGCTAGGTGCATTCCTTGAATCCCTTTAAAAACACATTTTGTCACTAATGGCCTACCACGATGATGTCCCCAGCCTTCAATTAGGTGGTAGTAAAAGAATAAAGTCAACAGCCTTGAGACAGACGATTGACAGCACCAGAGACAGAACTGTGGAACGGCATTGTCTTCCAGATAATTCAGCCCTGCCACTGTGAGCAATTACAGCATCCTGCAGGGCTAAATGCTTTTATTTATATATCTACTTGTTTGCAGGCGGGCTTCGTGAAACAAAAGCATTCCCAATCTAGCTAAGCTCAGAGGAAGGTGGTACGAACGGCTAGGCTATGAGCAAAGATGTTTTTTTTTTTTTTCCCATGTCTACGTGATGACACATTTGCAGCATTTAAGAGATCAGGGAGAGTCAGAAAAAGGTGGGAAGGATGTTCTCAGGCAGTTTGTTGAATGTGCTGCATAGTAGACTGTTGTGTGAGAAATATTGATAAGCCCCTCCCCACCCCCCTTCATGTGAAACAATTTGCCAGATCAGGAAAAGCAGTTTGTTGTCGTCCAGCCTGATTCTGTTCTCATCCAGTGGAACTCATTTACTACCCAATATCTTTGGCTGACCCTTACCAACCTTCAGTCGAGCACAAGCAGAAGCCCTCTTCAGGAGTCACAACTGCGAGGCAGTACTAGAGCCAGATGCTAAATTTTGGTGGTGAGGATAGTTGGGTCAGGAAAAACAATGGGTATACTGTACATAAAAATACCTACTCTTCCCCCCAAACCACTGCCTTGCCTCCCTGCGTCTCACGGTATATTCTGCTCTCTATTCAAACTTCATTGCTGTCTGTTTTTCAAACTCACAAACTCATAATAAACGCCTTGAGAAAAAAAAACACAACTTTACAGATTCTAAGCAAAAATATGATTTAGACTGAGATTCATGATTTAGTCGCATTCATGACTCTATGTGATAGCTTTTGTAAGATACAGTAGAAATACAATAATTAATGCTCAAATTCAGGTGGGTACCACAATTCACAATTAAGAAGACAGAAGAGATGATAAAAAGGCGAAATCCCAGTTATTGTTTGCCATTATTGGGTAAGAATATCTACATAAGCCTTGTGAATAGCCATAGTTCTAAATATATAGCACATTTAACAAATAATTAACATCTATTTGATATCTATTTCTGTAGTACAGGAACAAGCAGTACAATCTGGGGGTGGAGTTCTGTGGATTCATGGAAATCTTAAAATTCAACTAATTTGTTTTGTTTTTTTCAACATGTGACAAAGGCAACAGTCTGTTGGTGCTTTCACAACACACCCTCATTGCTATTCCTGGCGGCTTTCTTTCCTTCCCAGAGGAGCTGAAGGAGAAGCTGCAGGAGTACGTGGGAGAGATGAACACCCGGTACCCAGGGTTTGTAAAGATGATCCGTCACACCAAGCAGGAGGGCCTGATCCGCTCCCGGGTCAGCGGCTGGAGGGCTGCCAGCGGCCCGGTCGTCGCTCTGTTCGACGCGCACGTGGAGTTCAACGTGGGATGGTGATTGTTCTTTTTTTAATGCTGTGTCATTTAATTGTCACTTTCTAATGTCTAGGCGAGGGAGGCGTTGTGAACAATTCCTTTTCCAAGTGTGGTACCACAGGGGGTGTTTTTGGCTGGGAGGTGGAGCTCTCGATGGAGAGTGATGCGCTGCCTCGTCAACCACGGGAGTAAATGCTGATGAGCCTCAGCCGTGGGAATGCTTTCAGAGTCAGCCGGATACCTCCCCGAGCATAGACCACCTCGGGGCGTCAGTCCAGAGCTAGCTGCAGAGCCGAGTGGACGTGTGATCGGGTCTCCCGGGGACTGAGGTTTGGCAGTGAGAGGGCTGGGCTGAAGTAGGGCTAGCTGTAGAGAGCGATGCCAGAAACCTCGGATTCAGTGTGAGCCATCCCTGTTGCCCAAGTCACTGCGACGGTGTTGTGCAATGGTAGTATGCGACTGGGGTCGACTGCTGAGGGCACTGGACAGTGATGGATTGTTGTGGTTAATGTGCCTCTTCAACATTGCATGGGAGGTGGATAGAGATCATGATACAGACATGGCATCCCAGGTGTTGGGGTCCCACCTTTTGTGACAGAGGAATCACACTCTTCAGCTTCCCCAGTAAAACCTACTCTAGAGTGCTGGCCCTGATGTTTTGGAGTGGAAGGCAAGCTTTTGCACAATGTGAATAACCTACGTTCCCTTCCATAACTACAGTCATAAAAAGGGTAATTACCAAAAGGTCAAGATCATGGGCGCGAGACACTGAGAGGACCTAGCTGAGATTATTCGGCCCTGATAAGAATGACTTTGTAGGCGACTCCCTTTGGAGCTCTTCCAGGCATGACCACTGATCACAGACCCCTGTAAGCAGACCAGGACATGCTGGAGGGATTACATCTCCCGACTGACAGTGGATGGGCTGTGAAATATATTTTAAAAAATGTCTGGTCCAACGTGATCAGAATCCTTTGGCTGCGAGAAGGATACCAAAATGGATGGATGGGTGAATGGATGAATAAATATGCATACTTTATACATTTATATAGTATCAACACATTGAATAATTGACATAGGTTTACATATTAGCCTCAGCAATATTGAAGATCACAACTTTCGAGTTCAGTTGCAGGTTCAGTATATGACTGTATTGGATATCTTTGTAGAAAAGTGAAAAATAGTCATTTACATTCTAAACGTTATTTCTGGATTGATTACAATAGAAACAGTGTGCATGTAAGAAAAACACTACAGTTTTCTTCTGGTGCACACTGAACTACTGGAAACGATTCATGGTGTTTATGTAGGTCACTCTCAGGTGTATAGTGTGTACTTAAAGAATGTTGCCTGCTTTCATCCTGTGAGAAAGACGACTAATATCTTTATGGTGAATATACTGTACATGCCCCTTAATCCTACACCCAGCTGTCTGGCCTAAATCTTTCAAAGTCTTTGAAAACCTTCCAAAAAATTTAAACTTTAAATCCTCTGTGACATGGTATTAAAGCAAAATAGAAAAAAATAATGGCTAAATACTAAAAAAGTCAGCTTTTAGGAATCCTTTTAGCAACATATCCTAGGCTTACAACAGGAAAACGATTCCTTGCAGAAAATTGAAACACCAAAATTCTTCCAACGTGCAGTAAAGATAACCTATGAGGAACAACTTTCACATTTTATACTTTTATAAAATTTAGTTTTATGTACACATATAATCAAGTCCTTAAAACAACAATAACCCTGCTTCAATATGGTTTGGTCTTTGGTCTTTACTTTCTTCATTTCTTCAATTATTGCTCTCTGTATTCTGGGATTGTGAGTAAAGTAAAATGCTAACAGACACAAATCTAAAAAGGGTGACATTAACTTTAAGAGAAAAGCTTTTAAACCTGGAGTGTTCACTTCTGATCTTGGACTGTTCTGTTACACTCCATTTAATGGTGTTGCTTCCATTGAGCCCTGAAGCACAAGCTTTTAATCCTGTGCTCAAGCTACATGGAAAGTAGTGACGATAAAACACGTTTGTAGGGTTTCTGCTTTGGAACAGTTTGTATTCTGCTCTGAGGAACAGACAGACTGGTTAGCTGGCAGCATCCTCAGTAGCTTTACTGATCCTGCACCATGAACAGATTCATTCTGCCTCATGGTTCATGTCACCTTGGGCCCAATTTGAGGCTTTGTAACGAAAGAGAGCAATGTATTTTCTTTTAAAAAAGGTTATCAGAAAAGCATTAGGTAGACCTAGAATGGAAAAAAAATTTCCTCTTCTCTAGGTATTGTTCTTTTATTTCAGCACTCTGATAAATGACATCTATGAATCTCTATATCTCTATATCTGTGGTATCTTATTGTATCTAAATTTTTACTTGTGGTTCAATTAGTAGTTATTGATTTTAGGGGCTGAGGCTGAACTACCTGTAACAATGAAGGTTAGTTAGTAACCACAGTACTTCAAACTAATCTACTACTTCAATCTAATACTTTCTGTTCAGCTATAAATGTTCCATTATTCTGCTGCTTCTTTTCCTTGAATTGAAACAGTTAAAGAAAAAGAGTTTGAGTCAATTGCTTATGTTGCCAGTTACACCCTACTACAGAAATCCCTAACAATGTTTTTATTGGCTACACCAGCTGCATCAATGGGCTGAGAGAGTGGTAGAGACCCTGCTCGTTGAACCCTTTACGTGTGACCTGTCTGGACTTGCTGCCTGTAGAAAAGTCTGTGAACTCTGAATCTGGGCTTTTTGCCACCTGCAAAGATGAGGAAAGGAAGATTTTCAGTGAGCAGTTACATTAGATTGTCAAGATGGAGTTCATCTCCGAAAAAGCCAGTTGTGAGTTGTCTACTGCTAAATAAAATGTGGAATTTCGGCTACATTGAGGATGCTAACTCTGCATACTCATGAAACATTTCTCAATTTTTTTGCAAAATATATTTTTACCATTGAATTTCTGACTCATTGTTTATAGATGAATCATTATTATATGAATGTATCTCACTCCAAATCCTTGACAAGTATATAAAACTGACATTTTATGTATATTATAAACAAATACATGCAACATTTGCATATACTGTACCAAAGCATGATATTCGGGTGCAGAGAGATGTGTTGGGTCTTCTAAGCCTCGCTACCAGTCAATATTGTTGTACAACAAGGAAACATTCAAGAGTTAAGGTAGATTGCAAGCAAATCATCACAATGCTGTTTAATTACATTACTTTAAGAAATGAGAGTCGGTAAACACACAGTACTTTAAAGTTACATAACTTTGTGGGAAACCTAAAATCTTTAAAATTGTGATAAGATTTAATCATTTGGTTTGTATTGTTTGGCCTCTTTTTGATTGTGTAGTTCACATGTATTTTTTTTGGCGCTCTTCCCAATGGGATTGGGGAAATTCCTATTCTTGAGAACCCAGCATTCACATCGAATCTTTAAATGGGAAGGGCACATTTTCTGTTTTTTTCATTCAGGGCCTAGAACATTAAGTTTACAACAGTTAAGTGCAGAAGTGACTAATTTCTATATTAATCATATCAGAGTATATTTAATATATGAATTACAAAGGAAATTGCTCATACTTGTTTTGTATAAATGCTTTGTAGCCATTAAGACAGCTGTGGTTTATTCATCCTCTAATGAATTTTGCATCTCCTACACTAACTCAGCATATTGCACTAAAAAGAGAAAGATATTATTAGTTAGATACTATTAAAATCTTACCATTTTTCCAAAGCACATAACATACTTGGCTATTCAGAAACTTATATTCACTCTTAGAAGTGTCCTTCCATGAGATGGGTGATTTTGAAAGTAGGTGTTGGAAGTGTGAGAAAAACAGGCATTCACAGTTCCTGAATTAATAATGCACGGGCACTTTTAATCTTATACAGTGCCAACAAAAGTGAAGTTAGCTCAGACATGCAACACTAACAGCTTTGCTGGATCAACCTTAATTTTCAGTTCTTCATTTAGAAAATGCATTTTTATACTCTCATTTGTTTTAGATAACACACGTTATCTGGATATCTTTTCTTTCCTGTCAGATTACAAAGCATCCGGCGAAACTAAACCATGAAATTGAGTCACCCTCTTTCACACTGATTCTCTTCTGTTTTCCCTTTAAGGGCTGAACCCATTCTCCAGAGAATAAAGGAAGACAGAACTCGAATCATCTCCCCTTCCTTTGATAATATAAAATATGACACCTTTGAAATTGAGGAGTACCCCCTGTCAGCACAGGGCTTTGACTGGGAACTGTGGTGTCGCTATCTCAACCCCCCAAAATCCTGGTGGAATCTCGGAAACACTACTGCTCCAATAAGGTACTGTATGTTGACTACATGAAACATTTCAGAATCGCTGTCAGTATTAACCCAGCCTTTGCCTAAAGTACATTAAGAAATGGAAGCAAGTATATGGAGAATATTGAGATGTAATGATTTACAGTGTTGATTTAAACTTCACACACACTGTTTTCCAAAATGCCTCTAGCAGATCAATGTTGCTTACATTGATCTGATAAAAGTCTGTAAAACATTTTACACTCCTTTAGCACTAGACTTTCTTGTGGAAGTCTAGTATTTTTTAGATATGTTGTTAAATTAGGAATGAACTGCACTACTAGAAGCACTTACCTCATAATATTGTATGAGGTAATGTGATAAAGATGAGATCTTGCTCCAACTAGAACAGTATTTTTTTAATCCAGAGGCTGCAATATACTGTATGCATTATTAAGATTTTCCGTTGTTTTCTAATCAGTTTTAAAGTATTCTGCACAGGTCAGACCAGGCCACTTTTTATATCTTATTTCAATTAATTCAATGACAAATTTTAGATACACGTGTACTGGATATATATAGTGCCTCTTGAAATATTTATGATAATACCATATTATTGAAAATAACTTTCGATTTCAAAGCTGACAAAGAGTTTGAAATTCCATTTAAAAGATTTTGCCTTTTGTATTCCTGAACAGTTCAACATTCAAGACATCTGTTTTATTGTTGTCATCCAATAGTGCAGATCAGTCTTAAATCATAGGGTACTATAACTTACCATCACCCCGCAAAAGACATCTACACAACAGGGCAGCTTAACATGAAACATTTTCTATTTAAATCAGTCTCCTCTATGTTTTTCTTGCAGGAGTCCTGCTCTAATTGGGTGCTTTGTTGTCGACAGACAGTATTTCGAAGAGATTGGCTTACTTGATGAAGGAATGGAAGTATATGGTGGTGAGAATGTGGAGCTTGGTGTTAGGGTAAGTGATGGGTAGACTTCAGCTGCTACATCATACAAATAACTGGTCCAGTCCTAATCCATTAACAAAATGGATGACAGAAATGTAGATTCCTCCTTGTTACTTTGGTTTCCAGATCCTCACTTTGCTTTGGCCTTGAAAAACCTTTTATAGCACAAATCCATGTTTATTGCTTAAACATATGGTGCTCTCATCATGGACAAGACCACAGGGAAAACATGCCGAGGAGCCTGGAAGTGACAAGTAACTCATTATCCTTCAGGTTCTTCTTCATCTCCTGTGCACCTTGTTATCGACAATAAACAACATAAACTAGAACCTTAATTGCAATGTTGGCTTAGCTAGCAGCTTTTAATAAAAAGGAGGGAAACAGTCACCTTAGAAACAGCTAACTTCAACATGGTGTGGACTCCCGTTTAACCAATAGGTGACTCATTTAAAATGCACTTTTCTTTGCACCTTTTAACTTTTAAAGAAAAAATCATTGTCAATAATGTCTTTGAAGGCATTCCTGAACTGCTGAATCTTACATCCTACATTACATAGATGCTTGCAAGTTTTTTTAAACTTTTTCTCCTTGCACTTGTGTTGCACTTTTCATTCCAAAGGATCCCAAAGAGCTCAAGCACTGACCTGTGTAGTGAACCTTTAGTGTGTTTGACTGAGAGCTGTTCTCATTAGCTATAACACAATACTGTAATAATGTGTTTCTGAACCAGAGGTGCCTCGTCCTGGTCCAGAGGTCTTTTCATTCAAACTCAGCTCTTAACTACCTCAATCAGGTGCTGCAGCTGTAAAACAGACCTTGAAAAGCTGCAGACACACCGGCTCTCCAGGTCCAGAATAGACAAACTTGACCTCAGCCAATGGGAGAGAAGTGATGCAGGAAGCCCTGGAAAATGGTGATGATCACTCAGTGACATGTATTTTAGGAACTAGAATGGAAATACTGAGTGGTGATGTGTACCTGGACAGACATTTCAGATCAAAAGGTCCAATAAATATGCTAATCTTCTACCTGCATTCTGCAGATTCAGCTCACACATTCCCCAAACTGAAAGCCGATACTCAGTAATGACATTGTAACGTTTATGTTGTGATTTGAATTTCAGTTAACAATTACATTACAGATCATAATCTTTCATTAAACAGGAGGATTTGTTACTCTCAGCTTGGCAGGTTGAAGATTTGTAATTAAGATAACAGATTGGCCTGGCTCTTCTTTGTATTTCTAGCCTTCCTTGTCAAATTTATTTCGTACATATCTAATAATATATCTTTCTGAATGTCTTTTGGCCTTTATTTCAATTTCAGATTGGTTCCATTTTCATAGTAGCACATGCCTTAGTTTTAATAATGGGCCACACACTAAAACTACAAGCTGTTATCATTCGTGGAAAAGCATGAACATGGCAACACGTCTCTGCGAAGGGTAATTTCTCTAACCGTCCCAAGTGATTTTTATAGGCTGGTTTTATCTGTAATGTAGCATCTAACAGCTGTGAAAAATGGCCTAATAAACAGTAATATGTCCGTCTAAGGACTAGCATAGATCTGTCCCAATGTTATAGTACTTTATGCACAACCTGAGATTATTTATTTGCATAATATTGTGTGCTGCACTTTTCCTATTTTGCATTAACCAACTGCCACCATAAGGAACTAGGTTTTCAGAAAACTGTTAGAAAGCAAAAAATTGCTGTCACTCAAATGGGCTAAAGAAACCTTACTGAAGGTATTTAAAGAGAGTATCAGTGTGGTAAACTGTGTGGCTGTTGCATTCATTTAATGGGACAACTTAGTATCTGGGGCAATTTGTATTTTTATGCTCCAGGTCCCCAGACCCTTTACTAGAGAGTGACGAGCAGAAGTCTCTATTGCACACACAGCTGCTTTATCCTTTACCCCAGCTGTTAGCCTTGCTGTGTCAGGCCTGCAACAGTGTGAGCCTGAGATGGGCTGGGATAACATCCAGGGGCGGTCTTGTAGTCTCAGTCAGCTTAACTGGGACAAGTGTCATCCCTATGAGCCACTTAGGCTCGTGAAACACTTTAACATGTTTTACATACCTTAAGCCTTCAGTAAACTCTCCTATCAAAAATACTTAATGCAGACCTTCATTTTCCACTTGTCTTATTCATACTGCATTAGACAGTGCCTTTCTGGTTTAGATAATATGACAATGCAACCACTCACTAATCCCCTGCCTGGCTAGACATTCCTGGGAAAAAGCATTTGCAGCCATTTGTTTTCAACTGAGCGGTCTTAAATTCTTCTCCTTGTCCTTGAACTACAGCTGCTAGCCTCACGAGGAATGACCTTGAACATTTGTTACCCTTTCATGTAATTTTATATTTCAAAGGGGTACTTATTTTTATGAACCAAAGAGAGGCTGGAGACAGGAATTCAAGCTGGTGGCCTAACACTTTTCTGTTAAGTTTCTCAGTGATGCAATGTTGTCTGTGACACAGGCAGGCTAGGCATTCAGTCAGATGCAATTTCTTTTCTTTATGCTGTACAGTGTGGTTGAGCAGTAATTGTGCTTTAGCTTCTTCAAACCTGTCGTGCCATATCGCGGGTGAGTCATTTTTTTTCACTCTGTTTTTTCAGTTCTTGAATTGAATTGTGTTGTGCCTCTTGCAGAGTTGTGCCTCTTCATACACCAAGTAGAATCTGCTGCATCTGGAGTGATTTCCAGAAGAATGAAACCTATATTCAAAACATATGATTCTTTATAAATCTTAGTGTGTTTAATGGAAGCTGTATATTAATATGAATATATATTTGTAAAAAGCTTTGTTTTTATGGACCTTCATGGCCGCCAAAAACTCCTTCTATGGACAACATTAGGCTATTATGGGTTTATGTGGACACTGTGAAAATTACATGGCATCTAAATTGAATTCAATGCAACAATTATGGAGAGTGTCACGAGATATTTGGAATTACACTCCAGTTCCTCATTGATATACTGTATTGGGGCATATAAACCACATGCCAAGCACTGTATACCTCATATATCATAAAAACTGTACCTTTTCTTTTTGTCTGCGTTACACTTCATACTCTCCCCAGTTTTGAATTGCCAGGTTTTCTTTTCTATCTATGTTTTGGCATGCAGCAATAACTGACAGTGTGTACTGCACAGGAAGAATATTGAAGGGCTATCATGCTCCTCCTGCCAATTTCCAGGCTTAAACGAATGTCCTACTCTGACAGGCCAAACGAACCAAACCATTTTAGTCTTGAAAAGAGAAGACTACAAGAGGACCTTTAGTCGATTATTCAAACATCTTCAAAGGCACTGACAAACTAAAGTCTGTGGACACTCACCAGAAGACTCAGGTGGAAACTGAGTGGAACGTGATTTAAAACCAAGGACAGGAGGCACTTCTTTACTCAAAGGGTGGCTGGTGGGAGCAAAGAAAAAGCTAGCCATCTATCATATAAATTCACAATATTTACCTACTGTATAGACAGCTATAGATGTTTTTGTAGTCTTCAAGGGGTATTGTGTTCAAGCTGGTAAACAGAATGCTATGTTATAAGTAAGGAAAAATAAAAGTGCAAACATACAAAAGCATGGTGACAAACAACTGCATCTTCCTTTATTAAAAAATATGGACATATACAGTAGCTTCCTATATAAACAGTGCTACTGAATCAAAGGTTAGAAATCAAAGCATTATTAGACATTGTTATTGAAAATAACCGAATATGGTTATCAGTAATTCAATAATAAGGCTGCTGCCATTTACAATGGTGAAAAACCCAGCTAAAGCAAAGGTCCCACTACAGCTGGGATTGCCATTCGGAAGGGCAGCCTCAGTGGTATGTAGTAAATCAGCCATAATTTAACATATGATGTGGGCACCGTCTCATTACTCTGTAGATGTGATTCAGCTTTGAAAGAAATGTGCCGCACATTCAATTTATTCCGTTCCAGAGCCTTGTAATTACACAGCAGACTTAGTGAGGGATCTTTTTTATTGTGCTCACATTTTCTCAACACACAGTGACAAAAGGGAATGCCAGCACCAGGCTTGCAGTCCATCTTTCTCTTTGTCAGAGATAATCGCTTGGAGACTGAAGTACAGTGACATCTCCTGGGCAGCTAATCTGCTAAAAACCTATGGCTTGAGTCTGTCAGGGGTTAAGCAGTTTGGGCATTTCATGCTAAAAAGTTTAAGATATATTCTGGCCTAGAAACATTAGAATAACCCCCCCCCCCCCAAAAAAAAACACATGGTATTCAAAATTTGAAGTTTGGTTGCATGAAACACCTTATGTAATAAAAACAACAACAATAATAATAATAATAATGATGTTTTTCTGGATCCTCCACTCAAGGCACTTTAAAAGTAATGTGTAACCCCACCTGGATGATTCAACGGCAACCGAAGTGCACTACTGTGCTCTCCATACATCATCAGTGATTTATAACATATCAGTGGTGTGTTCTGCTTTATTCAGAACTTTTAAATGCAATGAACCCTTTAGGGAAATTTAACTTGAGATGTTTTGTGCGGAGGGACAGAGATTTGCATCTGCTTTTTTAACATATTGCTGCAAAATAATATAAAAAGAATGAGAAACGGAATGCATGTCCAAAGATCCTAGAAGTGCTGCTCAGTGAAAAATAACAGGAAGAATAGCTAAATCAACTGGGTGAACACGTTTTACTCCAAAATAATTTATGTGTTAACATTGTCAATGTTTTGGTAACCACAAGCTTTCATCAGGAAGATGGCTTGTGTTTTCTGAAACATTGACAGATGTTAATAAATAAATCATTTTAGAGTAGAAGACGTGCACCCGGGTAATTCTGCTGTTTTAACAAAATAATATCTATCCATTTTAATGCTGTCTGTTTTCACTCGCCGCTAGCAATGTTCAAATATCGTAAAAATATAAATATACTGTTTATCCTAGAGTGCAATGGCTATCTTAAGAGACATAAGAGCGAAAACAATTTCTTGTTTGCTCTGTGCATTAAAAAATACGTTTTGACATTTTTTCTGGTCTGTGGAGAATCTCAGCTTGATCACTTTGTTAGGGCCTCATGCTGATTAATTACATACAAGGTTGCTAGAAAGACCAGGGAAAATGTATGAAGAAGTAGGTTCTGAGGAGCTGTAGGAGTTAATTACACATTTGCATTGACATGGCAGACAATGAAGGCTAAGTAATTATCTCCCGAGGTGAATCTGCTTTGTGAGATGGGATAGATATTAACCCAGATATGTAATTCCGTTAATAAAATATTCTGCAGCCCGATTTTCTTTCTTAAGATATGTAATGAAAACAAACCATTTTAAAGAAATTACTGTAAGGTCCTGAACCATAGCCGAGAGATTGATGTTGGCCTATCGGTCCTTAGACTGGGGAGCGTGTTAACGCCCAGAACTCCCCAGGCTGTGCAGGCTCTTGTGAGTGTGCAGAGCTGTCAATAAGAGCACCAGCACCTCTCCTTCGTCAAAACCCTGAGCTCTGCTGCTTAGTAGTGTGTTACAACTGAACTACTTTAGCATTAGTGTGCGATTAGACTGGAAAAAGAAGCAGGTGGTCACATTTCGGAGGATACATGCATGTTGTCTTAATGTCTTTTATGCTCTTTTATGAAGAGAGAGAGACTTGCGGTAATTGGTTATGGAGCTAATATACCTGGTCAGTATTCTTAGAGAAAAATAGTATCATATTTGCAAATGTAGTCAGTAACCAAGTGCTACTGATCTTTCCCAGAAAACGGATTTTTATATTTGCATAAAATACTGTATAAGTAGCTTTTTTAATTCATTCTGTTGGTTCTGTAACATTGTCATAGTGTACATAGTGAATAATTCTTGCTGGATAACATATTCCATCTGGAGTGTAACAGAGGCAACTCCCATGCAGTTTATTGAGCATTTCAATGCTGTTTGGCTGTCTTGACCAGGTGTGGCAGTGCGGGGGCAGTGTGGAGGTCCTTCCATGCTCCAGGATTGCTCACATCGAGCGAGCACACAAACCATACACTGAGGACCTGACCGCTCACGTCAGGAGGAACGCGCTGAGGGTGGCAGAAGTCTGGATGGATGAATTCAAGAGCCACGTGTACATGGCATGGAACATACCACAGGAGGTGAGGGCTTTGGCCATCTGTCTTATGTCTCTAGTTCTTTTAGCACTGGTCCCTACCATGAACTCATATAGACTTAGGGAATCTGAGATGAACAGCTGTCAGTGTCCAAGACAGCTGCTTTCCAAGATTACACAGTTAAATCGTAAGTATGAAAGTATGAAAAGCGGCAAATTAGATTTCGTTTAGCGGGTCTAAGAAGAATGGAACTTGAGACATGACATACCAGCATGTTCTGCAAGAAAGTACTGCCACATACTGTAAGGATGCATGAAGTACAGTAACAGTGCCGTATGACATAAAGAGGGTGGTTCCTGAACTCATATCCATCATTTTATACAAGTGCAGAGAAGTACATATTCAGACTGAACATACTGTACAGTATAATTGAACATTAGCACAGACTGGACATACTGAGACACTACAATCCAAGCTTCACAAACTGGATTACTTTTTAAAGATGACGTAATAGGCTTATTAATTCTAACTACAAATACACTTCATGAATTATCCATTACTATTTTTTTAACTTATTATACAGTACATTGATAGCTTTAAAGCATGGGAAAACAGATGTATTTCAAAGGAATGAAGAGCTGGATAACAATTTTTTCATCTAATTGTTAGGCTAGAAACTATATTCCTACATACTGTATGGATACTTCAAAGGGTGAAACACAAGACTGAGTAGACTAAAACTACACATCCAAACAATTACTATATTGTGTCTGAGCACAGTAGTAAATAAATGTTATCTTCATTGAGTACTAGTTCATAGCTTCGTTCCTTTGACTGATGCTTCTGTTTCTAGTATGTCCCTAAGCCCCAGATTTCAATTACAATCCCCTTAAAATTAGTGACAAGTTAATTTTCAGTTGATAAACAGCTCATTATTCCTGATCAGCTTGCAAGTGTGCTTTAAATAGCCTTTCTTTTTCTTCTAATTTGTGTAGCGACTGAATCTAAATTGCAGTGCTTCGATAGCTTTGATGAAAGAGAAAATACAGACTTTGTAAATATGAGCTAAATGATTCTCTTCGTTGAGGGCTTTCTCATGATGGATTGATGTGACACAGCTTTATTCACATATGCTGGATGGCAATATCACCATTAGAGCAACTAAAATATAGAATATGAATGTTGGTAAGATACTGAAGTCTATGACACCAAATTATATGTTCCAATAAGTTAAACAGTTGTTAAACTAGATAATGCCACCATTGGAGATGAAAGTACTCACTTTGAAATATTGTTTTTATTTGTGTTCAGTTTTGGAAATTGTTTCTAGTATAACATTGTTTTGGCCACATAATTGATAGGCCATGTCTTCTTTAAACAGTCATAGAAGCAACAGATATATCAACAATCACCCCATCTAAAAGCTGAATAATGTTCAAAATGATGTTTCCATGGACTAGATTAATTCTTAATTCAATCCTTAATTCTTGTGAAGGCAGGGTAATTCCAGTCCATGGAGCATACAGGAAAAAAGAAAATCTTCAAATTTCTTCCTTCAGGGTGTTTACTGTAAAATGTTATGATCACAAGTTAAATCACTAATTTATTAAACAATTATTTTATTTTGTGTATTTTAGTTGTTTATCAACTGGTTTTAATTATTATATAAAGTGCTCACCAAGAATGGTGATAATGACATAATATAAAAGAATGAAGTTTTAAAAACAAAAAATTAAAGATCACTACAGTATGTGTACATAGACAATAATGAAATTCATTTGAATTAAGCTGAGCACAGTAATTTAACATCTGGGTATCAGGAAGATAGCATACTTTTTATGTGTTTTTATCTGACTCCCTGAAGAGCTGAAGAGTCTTTCATTCCCAATAATGATGCCAGGGGCAAAACAAGCAAATGTATTCTAATGCATTTCACTCTTTCTTAATGGTTTCTCTCTCTGCCACACAAGCTGGGCACCTGGAAACCCGCCATATGCATTAGGCAGGAATCTGAATCCCTTCTCAGCCAGCCAACATGACTGACATTGGGCTGAAAGAAACTCAAATCACTCATCTTTCACTGCTTAGTCAACATTGCTTTCTCCTGCTTGCTTGAGCTTATGAGGAATTAGTTCTGTATGATCAAAGCTCAGGATTTAGTGGAAAAGGATCTTTATGAAATTAAAATCAAGAGGATATGCAAATGAGCAACTTCACCCTTAGTTCTTTCCCCTGCAAGCACAGTTTACCCCCCTCACACTTACTTCATTTCTGAATAGTATTTGTCACGCTAACAATTTCTGCACAGACCACGAAAGTCCACCTGCAAAACATGAAATGGCCTTAGGCAATGTGATACTCAAATATCTTCTACATCCTCTCTTTCTGACTGAGGGATCTTGTTATCCATCCATTTTCTGTCCACCTATTTTACTACTGTAATTAGAGTCTTGCCATTTTAAAACAAGAGACGCTGACACAAGGGCAAAAGAACGGCAACACAACACCAGTCACAAAAGAGAGAGAACACCAACACATGTACCTAGTAGTCTGGCCTTCTTCATTATGCAGGGCCTTAGTCATACCGTTACAGAAAAGCTTTTTTATGAAGAATGTGGAGGTACAGGTGGAAGAGTAATTACAGTACTATGAAGGTATGCTTATTTTAATGTGGCAGGGCTGTGCCATCATCCTGATAACTACAGTAGTTTTCTAAAGACCAAGATATAACACAGAACACATGTAATGGGATACATAACAAGATGCAAATCAATTAACATGATTATGATGATAATGAAGATTAGAAACAGTAGCCTGTGAGGAAAGTAAGATTTATGGATATCTTCTTAAAAATCTGTGTGTAGAAATCAGAGAAGAAAGCTATTGCTGTTTAAATAAAAAAATGGAAAAGATGTAAACAGATGGCAAGGAATTGCTTAAGCTATACTTTCAAATCTACAAATGTAAATAAGGTTCATCCTGCTTGAAAATCTCTTAACAGCCAGGCTACATCTTCGAAACCTTCTAATAATAAAACTGAGAAATGAGCAAAGCATACAGTCAGTTAGGCACATGCACAATCTAAAACGAAAAGAAACAAAAAAGTGGAGAAACATGGACCACTTCATTCAGTGCACTGAATAAAGTAACATTTTTGGCACTCCGTGTGTCCACTGTGTGTCCATGGTTTCATGCTCTGAGAGAAGGCTGTAGTTTGATGCGCCTGTGAGTTATATGTCCTGTTGGAGTGAGTTATATGCTCTGTCTTCAGGCTGTTCTATCAACAGTGTAGCCGAAGCCAGAACAATCACAGCCAGAGATGCCATTGGGATACAGTTAAAAAAAACTGAGCTCTAGAAGTGTCCGTACCATGAGTGCAAGGATCAATTTGCCTTACCCTTGCCATTGCTCACTTCAGACACAGAAACTGTTTGTCATTTGTGGGCCTGCTGTGTTGGAAGTAGTTTGAAATCATTTCAGCAGAGCACTTTATGCAAAATAGTGTGAACACTAAGGGCTCTGCTGCACAAGAAAAGAAAGATAACGCAAAGAAAAAGAAAAACTATTTCCCACATATGCACAGCGGACAAAAACAGACATCTAAAACTCAGGAGTGCCCACAAGTGCTTTATGCCTCCCGACTCGTTAAAGAAGTGACACTAAAGCTTTCCTTGCTGTTTCTGCTCAGGACTCTGGGATTGACATCGGTGATATTTCAGAGAGGAAAGCCCTGCGGAAGAAACTGCAGTGCAAGACGTTCCGGTGGTACCTTGTCAACATTTACTCTGAAATGAGAATGTACACAGAAACCATCGCCTATGGGGTGGTAAGATTCTTGTTAATACTCTTTTATCACTGTAGAAGTAGTATCTATATTTGCTTAATCACCAATATTGAAAATGTGCTTGGAAAGCACAAAGCCTGTAATACTGTATATTTGAGCCATACAGATATTTTTGCACTAGAACAAAAAACAGAAGGAAATTTATCTGATGACTGAAATGTCAATTCTAATTAAACACACTGTTGGTTAGAGACAGAACAGTCCTCACTTTCTACAGTTAGGGGAAATAACCAAACTGAGTCCCTGAGCAATCTAAGTGCTAAGATGGTTTATAAGAAACATTCAATGCTTTTTTTGAATGTCACTTTCCAAAAATACATTTGTACTGCAATGTTAATAAAAATGTTTCCAGATTCCTTTATTTACATATCAAATGCATAATCCTATTTAATGCCCACCACACACACATGCACACCCCAGACTAAACCAAGTCCAAAATGTAAAGCTTTTGCTTTACAGACTCTGTAAAGAAAACGATTTTTTGGCTTGATGAGTTTCTGTGGCAGAATTGCCTCACAAACATTATCCAGCACAGTTTGTTATATTCCATGATAGCATTCATCAGTAAAAGCTAGTTCATGGAAGCAGAAAACAGGATAGAAAATACTGAGACAGGTTTGAAGAACTGCCATTGTTTATAAAAGGTGTTTATGGCTTTAATCTTATGCTTGAGACTCAGACCAGCCTGCTGACTTATAAAGCTGATGCTTATTATGTACAGACTTTGTCCCATAAATGTGGATTTTATGAATTATTCACTTGAAAGGACATTATTTTACTTTCTGATGCTTGTGCTGCTGAACATGAGCAAAATACTCATACAGTGTGTTATTAGTACAAACTTCATTAAGTTTTTCATTGCATATTTCATATTGAAAATCCCAACAAATTGCACCTGTATTCTTTGAACCTGACAATATTTATATAAACCTCTATAGTCCTTTACTTCATTTCTTCTAGTTTGAAGCTACTGCTTATTGAAGTAAAAAAAAAGTAACTAAAAAGGTCAAAACAAACATATTCTCAAACAAATAACCTTATAGGCATTTAAGGAGGTAGAATTAATGTATTATACTGCTTTTATCACTGTTTCGAAACTGGTACCATTGGTAAAATACAAGGAAACTCAAAAGGGTCCAACAATAACTACAGTACATGAATGTAATAACTGAAATAATAGCTATAATAACTAGAACTATGTGAACTATATCCTGCTATGTTTATAAGGTTGGACATTTAAACCAAAGCAGAATTTATTATAAAGCGCTGCAGAAAATATGTTTTAGGACATCGTAGTATTTCAAAATCTTGACTTGCCCTGGAAGACAGTCTTTTTTGCATGTTGGCATCAAAAACAAACACTCCATGTTATTATGTTTCTCAGAATCTTCTTAGTAAAACATTCTAGAAGCATTCTTGGCCCTGTCTGCCATGATGCATCTCTAATTAAAGGTAGGTCTTATTTGATAAATAAGTCAATGCGCTCTATGGTGCAGAAAAGGTCTGTTTTGTTGAATGAACCCTTGTAAGATGCCAAAGTGTCAGCTTCACTCTATTTGTTAAATGTCATATTCCCTCATATTCAATACTGCACATGGGAGCTCATGAGAATTGCAATTAAACTCTGAAGACTTGCTGTGGAAGAACAGGGCAATAAGTATGAAAGACGTCTAATTAATAGGGATATGGTTTATGTAATGGGAAATTATGAATTCTCCAGTACTGCCCTGCAGTTTGCCACGTTGATCCGGAGCCTGCCTTTCTACGCTCAAAGATAGTTTATTAATTGAAATTACTCTGTGGTTATACAGACAAGAATATTTATAAAGATTTCCAGCATTAAATTAATAGGACTGCAAGTATCTTTCAAATGGATAGCACACATAAGAAAATCCTTACACTGTCTGATAAACAGTTTTCACTGGGTTCAAATGGACAGTGTGGGAGAAATAGGTTTTTCAAAGTTTTTTTTTATCAGAGAGGTTTTTGACTGCCTGAATGAACATGAATTACAGGGAGAGATTTTAGTAGTCTTGACATTTACTGTATAGTGAACATAGGCGCTACATCCCACTCATAATTATTCCATCAAGCAATTGCAAGTGAGACGTTCTTGTATGGTTGGAATTTTTTAAATTCAAAACATGTGTAATTCACTGATGTGTCCTGGCCTAACAATGGCTGATTAATCATTCATGAAACACGAAGGGAATTCAGGTTGTTTTGGACTTGGTAAACCTTGAAAATGCACATCTGAGAATTCAAGGTTCCATCAATTGTTCCATGTTCCTCTTTCAGTGTCTAATGGAAATATCTCGCTACTCCTATCAACAAGAATGTTATTGAAATGTGTGTAATTTCTTGAAATGTTTTTGAATACTTTTATGTCCTCATCCATGCTGCCTATTGTCAAAAAATGAGAAATAGCAGAAGCACTGCTGAAACCATTATCTGTAGCATTCAAAACCTCATTAGCATGTCTGCTAAGGCTCAGAAGCTCTGAACTTGTCCAAGTTTTAACTGATCTCTTAATCTCTCAAAAGGCATCTCATTTGGCAGAATAATTTGACTCACATTGTAATCATTGATCCTCTCTTTTTCCCATTTCAGCTGAAGAATTCACTCAAAACTGACTTATGTCTTGATCAAGGGCCAGACACTGATAATGTTCCAATTCTGTACATCTGTCATGGGATGACACCCCAGGTCAGTGGACGCTTAACAGTTTTCTCTTTCTTTTTTCATCTCTCACAAGCTGTTGGGACTGTGCTACATCATCTCTCCCTTTCTCATCTCGAGCTCCTTAGGAAGCTGTTTAATTATTACTTTATGAAACAGGTGTTTTGTGCCCATTACTAATGGCAGCTAATTACAACACATTCTTTTGTTCCTGCCACTGGGGAACATGCTTCTGAATTTATAAAGGATTAAGCATGTGATGGTTTATTACATGATTAACAATAAAACATTTTTGTTTTTGCTGATGCACCAGCATCCCAAAATAAGACACCAGTGGTTTTATTGACAATATGCAATACAAGAAAATAAATGGCACAGACACAATAGTTCATTGGCCCATATCCTTCAATTACAGCTTAATATTCTGCAGAAAAAAAGACAGGGAATTGTCTTCCTGTATGTTCCTGATTCATGTTGTTTTTAATTTCTAGATTTCAGCCTGTACAACCTGTAGAGGATTAAGCACACTAGAGCCAGGGATTTGGGTTATATCAAATAATTAAAATTATTACTGGCATAATACTGTTACTGTTGCAGTCTTGTAAAGAGTCAGGTTCTTAAAGATAAAATTACAAAGCTTCCATGGAGGGAAAAAAAAACTTTCCGAGCATACAACTGAAAGAGAGAGCAGTACTTTGGAAAGAAAGTACATTGATGTAAATGGCGTATACATTAACGTGATAAAATCACACAATTAGTGTGTATGGTGAATTAGTACTGTCTTGAAATCAGTGGACTTACTCATGAATAATACAATGTTTTCCACCTCCAAGAGGGTTGTCTAACTCTTTCCATTGCTTCCAATTCAGTATGCTGACCTTCTAAAATGGTGTATCAAGGTGGCACATTCTCAAGATAGATATTGCCGTTACTGTATAGGGTAAGGGGATCGCTGCACTTAAAGGAAATGGCTTAGGACTGAAGGCTCAACAAAGAAAAGACAGTATAAGTAACGGGTGACCTGGTCAAATCTGCAGGTTAAAAAAACAGTTCTATCTGTTTTACATATTGACAAACCAGTTTGCGCTGAATGAAGTCAAGGTGCTCCATAATAAATCATGAATCTGCTTTTGGCTAGTAGAGTGAAGTAAGAATGAAATCTTGGAGATGATGAAATTGAATCAAAATCAGAACAAACAGAGTCTTTATCTTGAGAAATGTTAGATGGATGAAAAGTTATGTCATGACAGTATGTACAGGGTGCCTTATACTGTACTGTAGGGTGCTTTGAACATCACATTAACATACAGTAGGACCCTGTGCAGCAGGTACTGTTGTTCTGCAATCCAAACGCCGCTGTGTGAGCTCAGCTGGTCACTTCATCATTGACATTCTGCTTCCATCATGCCTCAGAGTCATTTAGTGATTGAGAGGTTAATTTCTATCTCCCCGACGCCCGAAGTATGGATAGCTCTGTCGATTAGCCATTCTGTGTTGTTCATTGATTTGCTTCCCCGGTTGATTGCACACTGACTTTCAATGAGAACAGGTCACAGTTAATTTTACAAAATAGATGACGATCGTGGTGTGGTTCGACCCTGAAGTCCTCGGTATCAAATTTAATTTCACTCTCAGCACTTAGATTAGAATGAAGTTGTTTGTGTGTCTTGTGAAAATCTTGGGTTGCTGTAATACCTGCCTTCTGTGTATTCAAATCACTAGCAGTGAATATTCAGTGGCCCATCTCTTCCAAAATGAGTCTGCTTTTTCTTCATGTTTCGTTTGCAAGCTGATAATACCTCATATTCAAGTTGGATTGAAAAACGATTAAAAAAAATATTGAATATTTTTTCTTACAATGACTAACACAACTTAAGGTAAATATATTTCTTTAAATGTTACAAAACCTAATTTTATTAGATATATATATTAAATATGAAATTACTAACTGGTCATTGAATTTCTTATAAAAATGTGACTTGAGAAGTTAGCACACCATCGGATATATTTTGTCATGAGCAGGTTTATGCAGGACTACCTGTACAGTAGGTTGTAATGGAAACCTAATGGCCGGCTTTCAGGTCGTCAGGAAATGGGGGAGGTTCTCAGTCCAGGTCCTGGGAGATTTTCCTCCAGTCTGGTTCATTTGCATATTTCTTTAATTCCAACACACCTCTTAATAACCTAATCAGTAATAACCAATAATTCATGACCAATCTTTTTTATGACATATAGACAGTATATCTTGGACCGGTGTAAAAACTGTAGTTCTTCAGGAGTGTCTGTCTTAAAGTGCCATAGGAAGGCCTGGAGGAACAGTGGTCCTCTTGGAACACAAAAAGCATGGCCCTGCTTCAGCACAAACCCCTAGGATGCTGGGTCTGACTTTCAATTTGAAGCCTTTATAGTTTGCCAGCTTGCCCCCTGAGAGGAGTGCTGCTGGAATCCTGTCACACACTCACTTTAGCACTGACTCCAAAATGACTCCCCCACTTTAATTTCCCCAAGGAAGGGTATGAGGCAAGTAAGAGGGGAAATGAGGACATCATAAGCTCAGAATCACTTCCACCTTCCTTCTTTAAGACTGATAATTAAGATCTATTTGGATGACTAACCAAATTCATTAGTAAAGATGAAAGGGAAAAGTATAGATCTTAACATCTCTGTACAATGGGCTTTTTTAGAACAGCAGCCCAAGAAGAGTCGAATTGGATTTTTGAAATTTAATGTGAAGGTGGAAAGTGTAAAATCAGGGTTAGTGCTTTTTAGAACCGGTGGTGCAGTTTTTTCACATTAAGTGTCCTTTTAAGCTTTCTTCCAAAAGGCAATTTTAATGTACATGTTCTAGTTTTTTTTTTAAATAGCTCCTCAAGCACTTGAAGTGCTATCAGCTAATGATGTTCAAAGCACTGCTTGAGGGAATACATGGGAGGAGAATGCAATTAAAAAGCCTGCAGACCGTGTGACTTATTGAATTAGCCACAAGTTACACGAGAGAAAATGTCAGCTCTCCCTCTGCGACCAACCTTGCTATGTTCATTATTTTGAGCATTAGTCAAAATGCACACCTTCTGAAGCACCTTTCTAACTTCCAACCTGGGTCACATGGTTCATGAATAGCAATGAAATGTGGAAGAGGTACCCTGTAAAAAGAAACAAGATTCCATTACCTAAATTGCACTTACTGCGTTAATTGTGAAGACATTAGCTGGCGACTAAAAACTAAAATGCAATTTATCAAACATCACTTTCATTAGCTTTCCCCTCTGCAGTCATTTAACTAATGAAGCATTGTGTTTGGATGAGATAAGTGGTATGCACTGGTACAATAAACAGCATCCTCTAGAGGAGCAGAGAGGCCAAACTAAATGACTTGAATGGGAAGTTGGGGTTTGTTCATTCCCAAAACCTAATTCTAATCATCAGACCATTTTTTTTGCTTTAGAGCTGTCAGCAGGACAAGAACATTCTCTCACAGATAAAAAAAAATAAAACACTGTAATGGTCTACTAAGGGAGAGAAACATGCATTTGTTTTACTGTAAATCTCCCTGGCATATGTTTGCTTGTTTCTAGATTATTTGGATAAGCACACACGTGGTCCATAATAATTAAAGCAACGTCCTCAGGATATCAGACGTTGCTTGCTGAGTCAAGTAAAAGAAATGAGAAATGGATGAGTGAAGATGAAGGCAAATGCCAACATGATGAATTGTTGGCATGCTCACATGGAGAAACAGGAGTTCACACAGATCGATGAGAAGTTTAAGAAACCTTAACCTGCCTTTTATTTAAACTTTTTTGCTTTGATATTTACATTGTAATTTTAGATAACCCACTCCAGCGCCTGGCTCCCAGGTGAACTACAGACCCAACTTTGTCTTTAAAGTTAAGTTTTGATAGTCTTTTTGCCATTAATGAAGACTCAAACCACATCCAAGCCTCAGTCAACAGCACTTCTCAAAATAAGAACAAAGGAGATGCGTGGAAAGCTTTGAGACTTTCATCCCCAGGATATTATATAAGATATACATATTAAGAACAACCTGCATTACAGAAGTATGCTAAGGGATCTAGATAACACCAAAAGACTTTGCAATGAACAGAGAGCTTTGAATACTGTTGAGAGACAAGGAAGTGTTGATGTTGTGTCTCATTATACAGTGCAAGGCAGGTATGTCAGCATTGTAGTTAACAATGCAGGCTCACAGCTCCAGGGCCCTCACGTTGGTTGCAGCGTTAGGCATCTGTCTGATTAGAGTTCACATGTTCTCCCCATGTCTGTGTGGGTTATCTCCAGGTGCGCCATTTTCCTCCAGTCTCTCAAAGGTATGCTAACTAGACCGGACTGGCTATTCTATATTGGCCTTTTCTCTGTGGCTGCTGTTATGGTCTGGCGTCCAGTCCAAGGGGAAAACAGGTGTGTCCTCTTTTTGCACTCTACCCCCTAGGATAGTCTCTGTCTTGCCTTGACCCTCCCCTGGCCTGTTGAATTAGAATTGTACATTGCTGAAAAAACAGCAATGACTCCACTGTACATAAACTTGAAAACATGACTTTGACTTTGCTTTACTTCATTGATGATCACTTTTGTTGACTTACAGAGTTCTCAGTAATAAGCATATCTATGGATTTTTTTGTTCATGCTGTCGGCATACAGTACCTTTATCTTTTGAAGTGCAACATCCTATTTTAAGAAACAAATGAATGTGAATAATTCAGTTACTCAGTTTGAATTTCTTATTGGCAAATTAATGATTTTTGTGCTCAGATGTGTTTTTTATCTGAAGACATAAGGCTTTGAGATTCGAAGATTTGCAGCAAATTAAGTGGATATCATTTTTTTCTACCGAGGGTTGTGCTATTTCTGTGCTTATCCCTTGTACTACAAAATAGTAAAACAAATCTGCAAAAGAAATGAGAATTCAGTTTTGTGCAAATCTACAGTGATGGCCATCACAGTGCAAGAAAGACAAATGATATGTTTCAAAACCTTTAATAGCAGGATATGTAATATTCATGGGACTG